TAAAATTTATTAATTAATTAAAATTAATATTAATTAATTAAAATTAAAATTAATTAATAATTAATAACAATTAATATTAATTATAGTTATTATTTGAAAAATGAAAAAAATGACAATAAGCTCCTAATAAGCTACTCAAACTAGCTTATATTCATCCAAACATGTACTCAAAAAATAAAATAAGCCAAATAGTAACTTAATTGCATAAGGCATAATTACGGTAATAATGCTCTTAAATTAATAATAAGCATTAATCACAAATCACTAAAGCAAAAAGAGTTGTGCTTTGTTGAATTTTTTTTTACTCAAAATATGTCCCACACAGGTCGCGCAACAAAAAGAGGATTTTGTTCCAAGGTTATAAATAAGGCTGAATCTTGGTTTCAAAGTACCCCAATCAAATGCACTTTAAGTATTTGATTCTTTTCTTTCTTGTTCTCTTATTACTAATACTTATTTCACACACATCACATCGATTGACCCGTAGCACCTACCCCAGTAGAACCAGACACAAGAATTGTTAGTGTACGGTTAGTTGCCTCCACCATAAGCCTCTCATCTTACTTTTCTAAGTTCTTCTCCAATTCTAACATCAACACCTTCGATTGTTCAAAGTTGTTGAAGTAAGATTTTATTTGCAGTTCTGCCCCTTCACCCAAAAAATTACTCAAGTTGTTCTACTTGTAGAGTCTCTATTGGAGCTTCCCACCAACAACTATCGTGTCTCGCTTTCTTTATCTTGTCAAGTTCTTTATTGTATTTTTCTCAACTTCCGATTGATCAAGCATGTCGGTGAGTTGCCTGTTGAGTTCTTTGGTGTCAATTTTGCATTGAGATTCCACAATTTGATATATGCTTGAACTTAGAGGATGATTTTGTTCAAGAAAGCGATCTAAAATCATCTCAAGTCTCAACGATACATGGATGGCCAAAAGAGAATGCCTTTTTTTTTAATTGGGGAGAATACAATGATTGCAATCTTCACTCCACAAAGGGTGCAAAGCTCGCTTGCCTTCCAGTAAATACTCGAATGGCGTTTCGAGAAAGTGACAGCCAAGCTTCTACCATATGTTATTTTTGTTATACCGATCTTTGGGGTTTTTAGGCATCATTTGAAAGATGAGAGGAAGTTTTTACAAGTAGCTAGCGTAACAAATATACATACATCTCGTGGATTATTTTCCAGGTTTTCTCTAGTAAAAACTAATGAATATTTTAATAACCATTAGTTTCTTCTAGAGGAAACCAGGAAAAAAATCTAAGAGATGTACATATATTTGTTACGCTACTTGGATAAACTTCCTCTCATCCTCCAAATGGTACCTAAAAAGACCAAAGATCGAGATAACAAAAATAACATATGGTAGAAGCTTGGCTGTCACTTTCTCGAAACGTCATCAAGGTATTTTCAAAAGGCAAGCTAGATTTACACCCTATTGCGGGATGGAGAATTGCAATCATTTCGTTCTCCCCAATTAAAAAGGTATTCTCATATGGCCATCCATGTATTGAGATGGTTTTAAATTTATTCCTTGAACAAAATCCTCCTTCGGGTAGGCATATCTCAAATTGTGGAATCTCATCGCAATGTTGACACACAAAACTCAACAAGTAGGTCGCCGACATGGTTGATCGATTGTAAACTAAGAAAGAGACAATGAAGAACTTGACAAGATAATGAAAGCGAGGCAAGATAGTTGTTGGTGGTAAGCTCCAAAAGAGACTCTAGGAGTAGAACAACTTGAGCAATTTTTTGGGTTAAATGGAACAAAAACTGCAGATAAAATTTTATTCAACAACTTAAGTAGTTGAAGATGGAGATGTTGGAAATGAAGAACTTTCAAAAGCATGATGAGAGGCTTATGGCGGAGACGGCTCACCCTAACATATAATTCTTGTCTCTGTTCTACTGGAGTAAGTGGGTTTAATACCGACGGCTTAATGATGGTTGATGTGGTCAGTTTTAGTCCTCTTTTGGTAGTGCAACATGTTCTAGTGCGGTCTTAAAAATGCTTAGGATCATAAGTATGAGAAGTTGCCTTGTATGGACAAACTTTTTTCACCAAGAAATCTAGATGAGAAATAAAATAATAAAAGCTTTGTTCAAATATATGCTAGATGCAACTAATCAACAACATAATATCAAGTAAAAAACTAGCTAGAAAGATGGTTTTTGTCTTTTTTGGAATGGAATTTATCATCATGATGCTAGCTAGAAGAAATCTAAGAGAAACGTTACATATCAACTACATTCATAACCAAAACATGATGGATCCAAACATCATGATGATCTATCTTTCTGTAACAACCACTACAACAAAAAGAGGTTTATAGGACGGTTTTTTAGGACATTTTTCAAGACCCGTCCTATAAAAAAGACTAATACGACACATTATTTTATGAGTCCTATTTGATTTAATTTAATAGGACTCTTACTTTTGATGTCTTATTAAACTCTCTTAGCGTCCTATCATGTAARTATAATACGACACTTTTCAATGTCACATTATTTTAGAGTCTAATAGGACACTTTTTAAGTGTCATATTATTTCAAAAGGTTAAAAGGACATTTTAAAGTGTCATATTATTTCAAATGGCTAATAGGACATTTTAAAGTGTCATATTATTTTAGAAATTAATAAGACATTTTAAAGTGTCATGTTATTTTTAAAAGTTAATAGAACATATTTGATTGTTGTATTAATGTTTCAAAAGCTAATAAGTGTTCTATTAGAATTTATATTAATATGAATAGCATTTTATATTTAAAACAATTTTTAACATCAAATTAAGGCCCAAATATAAAAATCCTATTAATATATAAGCCCAAGCCTTATTATTTATCAGCCCATTTATTTGAACCCAAAGAACCTTTCTTACTTTACCATTTGATCGACTCCCCTTCACTTGATCGACTCCTGGACCTGCTTGGGAAGCTACGATCGGTAATCTTGAAGGAAGTTCTGTGGTTACTTGATCGACTTCTCCCTCTCCCTCTCCCTCACTGTTTGCGATCGGCTCTACCCTGAGAATCTTAAAGCATCAGACGACGATCCTTCTTCTTACAGGTAACATTTTCATCGACTACAATTGATTTAAGTTTAATCACTTAGTCGTAACAACTTCGATACGAATTCTGATTTCTTTCTACCACACTGCTTTCGTGTGATTGTGTAGTCGTAACAACTATTTGATTCAACCCCAATTTCCAAATCTAGTCGGTTCTGTATTTATCACCATAAACCCTAGAGGTGATGATTTCTCTTCACTAGAGGTTTTTCTCAATTGGCATCTTACTTGTTCTTTGATCTTTTTCGCAKCTTACGAATTCATCTTCTTTCTTTTCCTTTTTTTATCTAGAATTTTGTAAAATCTGCTGGGATGGCACTGTCAGTCTCTGACTTACCTGCGATGTATACACTGCTTTCCAATTCACTTAGTGGCGATGAAGCCTTGCGGAAACCTGCTGAATCAACGCTTGCTCAGTCCGAAAACTTGCCGGGGTTTTCTTCTTGTCTAATGGTACGATTTTAGATGGCGTTCTTTTTATTCTAGGGTTTGAGATACCATGGAGTGTGTACATTGCATGAGTTTAATCAGCATTCTTGATTTTTGGAACTTTATTATCAGAAATGTTATCAAGAAACGCGTGCATTTCAATTTTTTTTGTCAAAAGGGCAGTTGTACATGCTAAAATCCCAATGTAGTTGAAATTTCTATCATCTAAGCCTTCAATTTCTCTTACACTTTAGGATTTTGCTATAAATCATGTTCAATTAGCATCTTATGAAGTGGTCACTTATTGTAGAAATGTTGAAAAATATCATAAGCATTTCATACATGTTTTTATGATTATTTCATTGCACTATAAAATTGACAAAGGCCCAAACGCAGTCTGCATTCTGACATCCTTTATGGTGCAGGAAGTGATAACTGCAAAGGACTTGGTATCTCAAACGGATGTTCGTTTAATGGCATCATTGTATTTCAAGAACAGTATCAATCGGTACCGGAGGAACAAGCGTGACTCGCCGTAAGTCATCTGATTTTAGATAAATGGTCTTGTGCTTCATGTTAATAATGTGAGAATCTTGTGGACATGGAAGATTATTATATCAAATTTATCGCTAACCCTCGCCCAATATAAAATATCCATACCTTCTTATCTATCGTCACCCTTCCTCTCAACATTCAAAACAAGTAACACAAGCATATATAACGTTCTCCATCCTGATGATTGGTAACTACAAAGATATTGTCCCACACTCCCACTTACCTCCTGGACTAAATGAATCTTGTCGGTGGGTTTGTTGGGTTGGATGGTTAGCTTGATTATGAATCTTGTCAGTGGGTTTGTTGGGTTTGTTCTTTCCTATAGAGACAAAAATACAATATGTCGTTGAAAAACATACATTTTAAACTTTTTGTCCGGCTTTCATGTGTCAACTTCATCACTGTTTTTGACTATCAAGAAGATTCATTGAGAGAAAACACAAAACATAAACATTGAACTCCAAACTCTTAGCTTTTCATCAATCTCTGATTCATACATTTTGAATGAAAATTGAGTGAGTTGTGCATGTTTTCTCACAGCTGCGCAAAACAGTCGTTAAAACAAACATTTGTCTTTGTAAACCTCGTTGAGTAAACTTTGAAGCTCAGAGCTTGAAACTTTAAGATCAAAYTAGGGAGTGACATATAATATATCAAAATCGTATCTTGAATCTATGAAGAACAGACGAGAGAACACCGTTCTGAAATTAGGAAGAAAGGAGTAAARTACGTAGCTTCTGTCCAGCACCCATCTACAGACTTTGACACAGAATAAGTCGTATCTGCACATTGAATTTGAGAAAACTCAAAATATCAAAGATGTAGATATATGTTTTATCATTCCAATTCAATTGGAATCATGAAATTTGGAGCTTTGAAGTGAAAGTTGTGCGCAAAAAGCTACAGCAGCGCAAAGCTGACAGCAAGTTTTTAAAAGATCGGGCTTTGTAGATCTAGTCCACGTGACCTCTGGTTCATTATCTATTTAGAGAATCTGAAATCAACTTAGTGAGTCTCATGCTCATTATACTTCTTATGATACAATAATAGCTAAAATTCTTCTAAGTAACCAGCAGACCACAAGTCTCTATATCAAGATTGAATTATTATGATTTTATATAATGTTCTTTTAAAAAGTGTATTTGAGATGATAATAGAACTATCATAATATTCTAATTATTATTATGTATAAATATATTTGAAATAGTTAAATAACTTTCTTTAACCATGTGCGTAAGTGTGTCTATATGACCAGAGCTTTTGGTTTAGCGAAGCTGATCATACCTCTTCTTGATTTGAGGCTATCTCTGGTCCGTCTTGGGTTTTTCTTTGGTCCATTATGACCAAAACTCTGGTCCATATAACCAGAGCCTCTGGTCTATCTACCTCTGGTCCTTTTCTGGTCTACCCTCTTAGTGTTCTTTGATACAGAATCAACAAAAAAGGTTTCTGTCCAACAACTTTACACCAACTTTCACACTAAATCAGAACATGATAGCTCCGGAGTTCGCAAAAACTCAAAACATAAAAAGTGCGCATTGGTCCGTTATCTGTTCAGAGAATCTGAAATCACCTTCTTTGGATCTCAAACGAATAAGATATGATCTATGTACCACAGTCGCACAGATCTGTCCAACAGCTTTGCATCAGCCCACTGTTGTCCACTTCAACGATGCGTATGACCCCTCTACTGTTTGAATCTTTGAATGATCAAAACATGGAACTTCTTAATCCATCTGTTTTCTATCCAGGGCCTTTTGAATCACCTCAATTGGTGCCTTGATGAGTGAGATATGATCAATTTATTACAGCTTCATAAATCTGTTAGTATGCTGATGACTTAGAAATAAAAAGACAAAATTAGTTTTAAAAAAATTGGTTCCTTGATGAGTGGATTCTTTTTTAAGTTGATGAAATAATATTAGTTTGAAGTAGATAGGGTTTAGAGAATGACCATAATAATGTCATCTTGTTGATCATGATTTGCAGGCAGAGAGAGTGCAGTTATGGCTCTAGATTGTTGTGGCATGAGGTTGGGAAGGCAACAAATCAGGTAACTAAACATGCTAAACACTTTAATTTTCTTATAAAATAGTTTCGAAATATGCATGAAATATAAAACAAGATACAAGATATCTCATTCAATCAATCATCATGTCATTCAGACCGGTTCATTTAACATAATGATAACAGTTAGTAAATTAGTTACCGACGTAAACTCATCAAATGTACTAATCTGAAGTACTGCTACGTACTTCCATTGGAACGGTTTTTCCGTCCTTTTTATAATACATATTGGTATAGGAGTACGTGAATATATCACTTGTACTGTATCAAGTATGACTCTTGTACATCACGTGACACCGTCTCCCGTTCGACAAACTATTCCTAGGCTAAACTGTAGCAATAGTAAATCACTCAAAAAGGTGCTTGTATCTTCAGGATAAGTAGGTGGTAATTATACAGCAGCAGATCAGATAGTGGCATATGGAGTTTGAAATAAATGAACATAAACCAAAACAGATTTGCAGCAAGCTGTAATATCAGCTTATGCAAGCCCGTCCGACGATCACATTGTTGTTGTACAAGAAGCACAAGCTATCTAGAAATTTACCTTAGAGGGTGAACAGACCTGCATAAAATCAAACTATGATTCAACATAAGAACAAGCAACATAAACCAAAACTAGGATTCAAAAGGCTTGTAGACAGCAGCTCCCTACAACTTTTCTGTGTTTATGGCGTGAAGGATTATTAATCATGATTATATCTTTTTTTCATAGGTGTATGTAATTGTATTGCAAACACAAAGTACCCAGTTGGAAACTACAATGCACATGTTGTGGCTTATTCTGATGTGAATTGGCCCCATGTCTCAGAACAGTTTGTAACCTCTCTTGGGTTATGCTTCAACCCATATGTGACCCAGGTATGTGATGGCACTTAGATTCTTATGTTTTGCTTTTGCATATCCCAGTTTTAATTTCTTTTAGTGAATGTAAATGAAGAAAGCTTGATCACCCCTGTTTTTATTGATCTTTGTCGTTAACTGTGGATCTCTTTTTAGCCTAGATATTCAAGGTTACTGGTTGTTTACTACCTACTTATCGCCTCTTACCGGGTAATAGGGGGTTACCCGGTCAGAGATGTTGTTTACCAAACCCCTCTTACCAGTTCATGATGTTGACCAGGTAAGCTAAGGGAGGAACTCTTACCCGTTCAGTGATTTGTGTTGACCCAGAACACACTCTTACCCGGTTAGCGCTTACCCAACTTGTGTTGGTAAACGTAACTTTGCAACCATGGGTTTGAAGCACCAAAATAATGTGTTTACAAAATGCTAAGCCAACGTTATGTACAAAAACTCCCTCCCCAACTTTTTCAAGGCCAAGGATCTTGGTGCGTCAAGGTTACCCTTCGATTGTTCAATTCAAATTGCTCGTTTAATATTGGAATTGGATTCAATACATCTTTCTTTACTGAAAAAGCAGAGTTGTGCATTGTCTAATAGCTTTCTGTTCTTGATTTATGCCTGTAGGTCATTGAGACTGCCTTGAACAAGGACCTGGACAACTCATGGGAGGTGCTTCCCGAACCAATACAAACAATACGTATCTGGCTTCCATGAGTTACCTGTTCATTGAAATGGTCTCATTGTAGTACTGGAAAATTACAAACAACTTGTCTTATAAATTATATCTATAATTGGATGATACGTCTCGCATTATAGTCATTTAGGACGCTTTTAGTGTTAATTATTATAGCCTATTAGGACACTTTTTTAGTATTACGTAGTTCATTTTATAGGACTCAAAAATTTGTTTCATAATTATATAACTTATTAAGACACATATTTTGGTACTATATAATTGTTTTAGCGACATTGAATTTTGTCCTATAAAAGCATTTTTTGGGATGCCCATATTTGTTATTAAATGTAAACATTTTGTGACAACATAAATGGTCCTATATTATAGTCTATTAGGACACTTTTTAATGTTACTTACACCATTTTCTAGGACTATGGAATTTGTATCATAATCCTAGGGTTTTTAAGGACACTCAAATTCATCCCATTAACCTAATACAACACCTTTAGATGAGAAACACACATTATAATTTTATATTTATTTATTTATTTTATTTTAGTTCAGTTTAGTCTAGTTTAATTGTTCTTGCTAAATGTTCAATTGCATCTTTTATTTTCTTTGTTCTTTATCTTCCTGTATTTTATTTACATTATTGTTCTTAATTAAATCAATTTTTTTTTTGCTTTTGTTGGATTATATTTATTAACAGTATAGTTTATTGTTTAATTTGCTCATGTTCTTGGTAAACTTAATTTCTTAATTAGTTTAGTTTCGTTAATTGAATTAATGTTTCGCATTCGTAGTATAGTTTTCTTAGTTGAGTTTGTCGTTCGTCGTCTTTGACCGAAATCTTGTGATTAATCAATTCGTATTATATCAAATACTAGATTTAATTTTATTGGATTAAGTTTCAATAAAAAAAAATATATTATGTGGTTAATTGGTTTTAGTAAAGCATATGGCTAATTTTAAATCGAATTGGCTGATGATTACGACTCTAAAAATAGTTAGAGACATTAAAAGGGAATATATTTGTTGATCTCTTTCAATATATAATATATACCTTACAAAAGTAAGTATGAGTTTTGTTTTATAAATATTTTTCCACCTCCAAAGAAATCCAAGATTGGCATTACTCTCTCCTCCTTGGTTTTATTTTATTTTATTTTTCTTGTCTAGAGCGAATTCATATTTAGTCGATGAGGATAAGATTTCAATTTCATAAAGGCTATCTCCTTGTGTGGGTCTTTACTTCTCACCATGGTACACTAAAAATGACAAAAAAATGGGTCCGGCCCAACGTGGATAGGGACGGATTATGGACCGACGGTCTCTTCCGGTTATATACTTTTCTGGAAAAATCATGACCTAGCCCAGGACCGGTTATAAATAGAGCTTGATTTCTTTTAAATTATTAAGTTTTTATAAATTATTGAGATGTGTAATATACCGTTAGAAAGGTCTTTAATTTGAGTGTGCTACAACTTTGTAGTTTACGTCCAGATCTGATTGTAATTCCATAAGGCTCAAAACAGTGAGTTCCTATATCTGGTCCTATGCAAAAACGGGATTTGCACATTGTTTTTTGAAAATTCATATAAAATCGATCATTGCTCCAAATGGGGTGAATCTAAAATGATTTAAACCCTAAATAATAGACCTACAACTTTTGTTCACTACCACCTGAATGTACCTCTAACTACGATAAAAAGGCTCAAAATCGAGTTGGTATAAAGCTATCAGGTGCAGGGGATTATGTTGCATTACTTATTTGTACCTTTGTACTTTAAGGTTTTGTAATGTATGTAACCCAATTCCATTCTTGTCTAAACTAATTCAGATCCAATCTTAGAATGAGAAAAAAGTCTTATCAAATGGATAGGGTCAATGTGCGTATGTAAAGCTCAAGGTAACTTGGAGTGATCTGTGTTATATTAATCATCTGCTCACTGAGAGGAATTGGCTCAATTGAGGTTTGTTTTGTCCTTGGTAGGTACAAGATCGTAGGTGGGATCATCACGAAACTGAGAGCTATGAAACTTGACTATTTTGAAGACGACCCTTGTCTGGATAGTATAATTTTTGTTTCTATAAATATTGTAATTATATCCATGTCGTCTTAACTTTGATCTACCACACCTTTAATATATATAATAATCAATTTGAATTTTTTTAACCAATATTACATTATTAGAAATTTGTTTCAATTACATTTTAAAATATTATAATTGATTAAGTTTTCAAAATTTGCTTTTTATAAATATAAGTTTTCAATGACATTGATTGTTATATTGATAAAAAGTGAACATAATAGTTTTTAATTATATTGATTGTTATGTAAAAAATAAATATAAATTGTTAATAGTTTTAATAACAAATTGTTATGTATATTATATTTAAATAAAAAATTAAAAATAATTAGGGGGAACACGAGACGGAGAATACAAATAAATGTTTTTGATGTAAATAAAAACGATTAAGCTCATTTAAATAAAAAAAAGAAGTTAAAATGAAAGATAAGCGACAATAAAAGTTTTTGATAACATTGATTGTTATATTGATAAAAGATGATATGATGTGTACCTAAAAATAATAGTTTTTAGTTATATATAGAAAATAAAAATGAATCCTTAATATTTGTTAACATTATGAATTTATGTGAAAACGGAAGTACATAAAAAATAAATAGATTCATATAAAAAATAAAGGTAAATAAAAATAATTTTGTTGTGAGAAAAATAAAGGTTTAGCATTAATGTCTTGATTTAAAGAATCTCAAATTTTTTGAGAAAAAAATATTTATAGTAATATTTAGATGTAAAATAATCCAACAATATATAAGTTTTTAATCTATTATGTTTTAAATAATTAAAATTTACCAAACATTCAAATAATTAATTAATTATTATATTTTTAAGCCATTGTATACCTATTAAAATTTTATCATTTCATAGAAGTTTGTTGAAAATTACAAATTGTCATGTAAATTAAGTCTATTTGGTTGTTTGAAAATTTGTCGGGATATAAAATATATTAAATATTTAAATAATATAATTAATATTGAAATCTATAGAACGGAGAAATTACTTAAAATATCTATTGATGAGATTGTAAATAAAAAATCTAACAAATTTTCAAAAATAAACAAAATGGTTTTTAGAGATTTTGCTATCATATTTTCTTGTTCCGTCAAATTTTCAAAAATGGAAAAAGAAATACTAAATGCCGATAAAGAGAAATACATTTCAAAATAAAGCTCATGAACCCATCAATATAAGATTTTAATATACAAGTTTTGTTAATCTAATAGTTTTATAAATAATTAAAATTTATCAAACTTTCACACAATTAATGATATGATTATTACAAATCGTAAATCAACGTATATTTAGCTATAGAAAACCAGCATTTTATGAATTTTTTTTAAAAAATTACCGGTTTACAAAATGTTTGGTGAAAATTACAACATCATATAAAGTTTTTCTAAAAGTAGTTTGATTGTTTAAAAGTTTATTGGGTCGACAATATATCAAATATTTTTAATAATATAATTAATTATRAAATCTCTAWAAATAGMAAAAAMCMWTKRWTKKWAWTTTKSYTWAWTTTTTTRWTTTTTYYWWTTWMMAAAAAAATATAAAAAATATCAATGGAGATATTATGAGCATTTATCATTTTCCTTACATAAACAACTCAGTCAAACAAGACCAACATACATGGAWGTATATTTATTTTAAAATAAAATAAAATCCATAAAGCAGCAAACTTAATGRTATTATKAACGCACCTAACACATGCAGGTAATGCAAGAAGGCTCTTTAAATATCTGTTATTTTCTCCTAGAGCAAACAAGAAACAGAAATAACCCAATTTGTTACCCTACTAGAAAAACTTCCTCCAAATGACGCCGGCCAAAAAGACCAAAGGTCGCCAAAAGATTGAAATGACAAAGATATTAGATGAAAAAAGCTTGGCCGTCACGTTTTCTAAGCGACATTCTGGTCTTTTCAGCAAGGCAAACGAGCTTTCCACCCTTTGTGGGGTGGAGCTTGCCATCATCATGTTTTCCCCAACCAAAAAGCCAATCTCATATGGTGTTCCAAGTGTTGAGGCGATTTTAGATCGCTACATGGAACAACTTCCTCCTCCGGATCCGCGCATGTCTCAATATATGGAGTCTTACCGCAATGCGTCCATCCAACAACTCAACAGCGAGCTTACCGACATGATTGCTCAAACGCAAGCTGAGAAAAAGACCGGTGAAGAACTTGACTTAATAAAGAAAGACAGGCAAGATCGTCATTGGTGGAATGCTCCGATAGAGACCTTAGATGCCGAACAGCTTGAGAAATTGAAGGCGGCGATGTTGGAATTGAGGAACAGCGCTGAAAAGCAAGCCGAAAGGCTTATGGTGGAGGCTGCTACCACTTCTACACCAATAATTCCTGGCTTTCGGTCTATGGGGGCAGATGGTGCTGGTCCATCAAACTGATGGGGGTATGGATTTAGATCTTCCATGACTTCTCATGGGTTTATGTTGGGATATCAATATTGTTTAATTCTGATTTTAATCCGTTTAAGGCTGTGTTTTCATCTTCATTTTCCTTCTCAATTCAAGGTCGATTAGTTAATGTTGTTAGGGTTATCATTTCTTAGGCCTCCCAACTCTTTATGTTTCTTGCAAGGAAGACTGATAACAATTATCCTTTCATTACATCGATTTTAAGCACATGGTAATCTTGATATAATACATAAATTATCATGATTTACTTATGGTTAGAATAATATAGGCTGAACTGTGGCTTGACAACAAGTTGTTCCATAATTTGCAGATTCTAGCTTACCCATTTCAAGTTGTGGGGATTTCGGACATGTTTATGTGAAGTCCTAATTAGCAACAAGGGTATTTAGGGTCGATGAAATGCATTGTTTAATGGATCCATGAAAATCCATCGTGTTTGATATATATTGGTGGAAGGTCAAATGATCTAGTGCAACTTAACCCTTGTCATAAAATTATATTGGACAAAAGTCTCAAATGAACAATTGCTTTCCTCTTGTGTTACATATTTTCGTCCCATGATTAGTGCTATGAAATAATTTCCTCCTATTTGTTAATAACAGAATGCTCATTGTTGCATTGAACATGTTCAATAATATTAAGACATCTGTGTATGCTATAATGCTTTGAAAGAAGTTGGGAAACATATTGATTGATAATTTCCTTATAGTTGAGTACTTCAAATTCATAATTAAGCAGATATATATAAGATCTGATTAAATACCACGTATAAAGTTTAAAAGGAAATGGTCATAACTCATTTTGTACTTGTTCATGGATCTTGTAATTGATAAATTTCTTAACATTGAGTCAGTCACAAAAAAATTCGAAGAATTTCCGTGAAAATGATCTATTTTATCAGGTAAAAAAAGGTAAACCATGATCAATATGAAAGGGAATTAATGTTCAAATATTTAGTATCTCATTTGTCATAGATCGGATTGTGTGATTCATTTATTGGAACGACCTAAGGTTTTCAAACATTACAAATATTAGGAGGCTATATTTCATAGATTTTATTATAGAAAGAGGACGATGACCTCGTAGATGATCAGATTATCATAGCCTGATTTGGATTTGGATTTGGATTTGGATGGTGTATGTGATCAGAAATTTCTTTTCTCCCTCTGTTTATGTCTTATACATGAGTTGTGCAGTAATATATTCATTGGTTTTAAACATTGCCAGTTTTTGTACCATCACTTCTTATTTGAAGGTACGTCTTGCCCGCCTAGGGCACACCAGAAATTAATGGGGCCCAATTTTTTTTAGTAGATAATAGTATTTAAAAAAAATTAGTAAATACAAGAGACACAAAATTTTAGTATCTAATAAGATTCAGAAAAAATTTAGTATTATATTACGGGCCTATACATGTATTAATTACTTATATCGGAGAAAAAAATATGTAACTAGTTAATTGGTGATCTAGGATAACTTCCATCTTGAAAGGTATTTGGGGCTTTTATAAAATATCCGTTATTCTTCTCTATTTGTAATCCAATAACCAACTCAACGGGTTCCGTCCAGCTAGCTATATGTTGTGTATTATCGACGATTTTTACATGAGGCGGTAAGATGATTTCTTGAGCAGTTATGTATCAAGAGCCCCTAGCACAAATAGACACCTCACAAGTTCAATTTTTATATGTTCCTCTAAGTTTTTTTTTTTTAAAATATAGTATGAGAGTCAAACTATTGCCTAGAAAAGTTTGATATATCCTCTATCATTTATTTCTCTATGATTTTTGATTATTGCATCCACATAAATTCTATTTTATATTAGAATACAGTAGCTTTCTTGTTATTAACTAAAAAAACTCGTACTTTTTGAAAAATGGTACCAACAAATGGTCCAACTTATATTTATATTTAGAATTCCAAAACTACTTTTAATTATTCATATATTATTGACTCCTTATTCCATAATATATAGTGCATGAATCTTTAAGTACTTTTATATCTTTAAAACAAGAATAAGATCTTAAGTTATAACCAACATAGGCTTTTGATTCTAAGATTGATAGTTTTGAAAAAGTTTGTTTTAACCTTAAAAGTTTAAAACAATAACACGATCTAAGATGAAAACCCAACTGATTTATGTTGATTTACATAGAATGTTACTCTGAATAGTCAATATTGTAACAAAAAATGATGCAATCTATATATCAAAGCTATATCATAGGACGTTTGAATGGATTGACGATGCTATGTAAAATGAAATAGTGGATAATAGTAATAAAGAAATAATTATTGATTGATCATACGTTTAGGAATACTCGGAAATACGATTTTAATATGAATTATGAATATTTCTTGAATTCAATGTTCTTTCGGTACAAATGAAGATTTTTTCACATATATCGAGGGCTTTTTTACATCTCGCTAGGGTCTATAAAACATGTCTCAAAATATGTTGTTTTTCCCTTTTTTTTTTTAAATTTTCTTCATTCGTTTGTTGATTGACAGAGTTGCGAGTTGCTCTTTTCCTACGTGTTCAATGGCATTTCATTTGTTCCTTGTTTTGTACCTGGGGATGGAAGTGGGAGGTTGGGGCACACAAGCAATTCAACTCTTCATATTCCTAGGCACACTATTCTACAACTTTGTTGTACCTCGTGAATCTGTGATTGCTAAATGGCTAAGAAGAGGGTTCAGTAATGGCAGGTATGAAAGTGTTCGTTTTCGTAATAGGTCTGTGTATGGGAGCCAAGTTTTATTTCCATGTGTATAGCCTGATGTTGACTCTAGTAAATTTGCGCACATAATTAAGTTGTTTTACCTTCTCTACTATTCAGCTGACACGCAGACTTAATTTGAGTTAAGACAAGTTTAATAAACACGAGCTATAACACAAGGAACAAATTAAGTTATATTACAACTCAATAATACATGGAGATTTCAGGTTCAATTCCAAGGAGGAATAAAAATCCCCTTATGACGACAGAGGTTTAAATGCGGTGACTCAAAGCTATCTGCAAAAAAGAAAGTCGTCTTAGGATTAATTGGCTCGCATAGCTGGTTAAATATCCAAGTTAATAAAAAAATGTTATATTACAACTAGCAACCATTTTGAAAAGATATAAACAAAACATTCCTTAAATACAAATCAAGTTTTACATTTTTGCTGCTTCTCCTATTTACCTGCAAATTTTTTCTCTTTCTATTTGTTTGTTTTTGTTCTTTTAAATGTCCCGACTCCTTCCAATGTTTATGAGTTCACTATAAAAACAAATGATTTTTACCCACAAAAATCACCCAAAGAAATTTACGTCGATCACTGACGGATCACCTAGAAAATAACAGCGGACCATCCAGAAAATACCTTGGTAAGATGTCACTGATTTAAGTTTCCCACCAACTTTTGAGACGGTTTTCTAACAAATCATCACTTTAACGACAAATTTTACAGTAAAAAGTTTTTAGGTAAAAGTATTTCATTTAGTAGTGATTTGAATTCGAAGCTACTACGTACGTACCAGTCTTGAATTTGTGTTCACTTAGTCTCTCTTTGGCGAACTAGCTCATAAACCAAGCTAGTTATTGACTAATACTAGGCACTTTTGATAAAAACTAACTAGTTGATAAGTTATATGAGAAATGTAAAATGATCTAAACAAATTTGTTGAAAAATTACTTAATTCTAACGATGAATGAAACATAACAAGAACAAATGGCTAATACAATTTTTCATATTAAAATAATTAATTACCAAAATAAATATAATTTTCAATTATTTTGGTTTATGGGACATTCCATAACCAGTACATATCATATTTATCTATACTATATTATAAAGTATTTGACATAAACTCTTAAAAACCATTTTTTATGCATAAAGTACTGTTTATTGATGCATGTTACTTAAAACTCAAGATTACAAGTAGATTGTGCGTAAGTATAACTTATTAAAGCTTCATATCTAAATTCGTGTAACTAACTGCAGATAAACATAATCAAATACCGGATAAATATCTCAATTTAAATACAAAAAATCTAAAATATTAATTAGGATAATCACTGAGTTCTAACAGAATACTTAATTATGATCTTTATAAAATGTTATATTATAAAACCAAAAATAAATTAAACTTAAATTAAATTATAATAAAAAAATAAATTAAAGAAATTACATA